TCTTTTTACAGTTTTTCATCACTCCTATTTCCATAAATCAGGAAAAGGCAAAAGGTGTCATTTGTTTTTCTGTAGCATATTATTGACTATAATTCTGTAGCATATTATTAAAGAGGGGGAAAAAAACAATCAATTACCAAAGGCCATAAAAAAGTCCTCCCTCTAATCCTTAGAGAGAATAGAGTACTCAATTCATTTTATTTCAAACTGATATTTAGGGACTAGGAAGCTTTATTTAATAAAACAATTACAATTGAAATATATTTTGGTTTCAAGTTCTGAGGATTGAACAAGAAACAAACTGGGGATGAAGAAAACAAAACTAGGGAGAAAGAAGAAAAGAGGAGAAGAAATCTGGAGTGAGTGAGCAACAGGAGAGAAAGGAGGAATAGAGAGATCCAGGGAGAAATCAAGGGGGAGATGAACAAAGAGGGTGGTGGACACTGAGCTTTCCTAGGCTCTGTGGCTGTGACTTGCTGGGGTTCATTGTTTTCAATGACTACTGTTGACTTCTGTATTAATCCTCACATTTCTTAGGTCTCCATTCTAAATGTTGACCTGAACACCAACACTAAGAAAAATTATTCTCGGAACACAGTAGCAATGATGAGCACAGTGGTTCTGGGAGCTGGGTAAAAGTCAACCCAAGGGCCCGAGAGGCCCCTCATCGCTGTCATGCCATTAAGCTTCCAGCAGATGCACATACAGATGGCAGAAGCACCAGCGCAAGCTTTGCCAAATATACAGATGACCTATGTTCACTTGCCTGTGGGTATCCAAAAACACTGAACCATCCGTCTCTTACTTTTATGAAAATTTATTTGAAGTTAACACTGTTTAAACACTGAGGACTAAATCAGTACAGAGGAAAACAAAAGTAACATGCTTATAAACAGTGTTTTAAAAGTTTGGGAAGCTAACTGGAGCAGAAGATGAGGTGTTCCACTGTCCTCATTTCCATGAGAAAGCTCAAAAATATGGAAAATGAATAATTGGTTAAATAAATGTAAACGTAGTCACATTTTTGGCCATTAACTTGTCAAGATAGCTGATTTCCTGATTGATTTTGTCTGTGCTCTTCAAGACCCAAATAATTGTAGGAGTTTATGCACTTCTCTCTCTTTAATGGATATAAAACACCAGTCAATTTTTGTCAAGTCTTACACTGGACCAGGTTTTCACTGGATAAATAAATGAAGGATAGGCAACTGGATATTCCAATCCAGATAAGAAGCTGATTATGTATTAACCCAGACAAAATACACATTTACATTCCATATATCACTAAGAATAATTTGGCAAGAGGACTACTCACCTGACCCTAAATCCATGTGTCAGAAGCATCGTCACTGGGGACCAGTCTTTTTATGGGGTCTCTGCACAGACTGTTCTGCTCTAACCCAGTGGCACTGGCAATGGAGGCAGTCTTCTGTTGTCGAGAGGTGCGCCCAGTTTCTTCAGCAGTTCCCCCAATCATTTGTTATGTTACTTAACTTTTTTTGTGCCTTGGCTTTTTCATTTGTAAGGAGGGAGAGTCAAGAGTACCTACTTCTCACATTATTGCTTTAAATGTGATAATGTCTGTAAAGCACTTAGCTATATTAGTGTTTGTTCTAATTATTATTAACATTACTATTGTATTGGGCTAATATCTTTTCCCCAAAGGAGCCACTCCCATTCATTTCTCAATTTAAAGGCTGATTTCAGGGCAGCCTTTGAGCCCATTGAGCAAATCTCAGATCTGTGTTTTCCTGTCTTCCACTTTGTTAATCAGTCACTCTCCTTACAGAGGGCCATTCAAGTATTAAAACTCTACTGAACATTCAGCACTAATACTGTAATGAACATCCTGACTTTTGAGGCCTCAGATACCATTTCTGGATTCTGCAGTGCCTTGTCCCCTTGAATGTGGAATATGTCGCGACCCTTCAGGGACCGAAGCAACACGTCCAAGGTCTTGATTCTTCTCTAGGCTTTATTGTCTAATCTCTCGCGGCGGTTACAGCAGTTGTCGGGAACCTCTTCTCCCTCCCAGCGGGCTCCCTTATATTCAGTCACCCAACCAATCCGGGACAGTATCATGCGTGACCTTTAAGCGGATAGGTGTCACGCGCCACTCTAAGCGGGCAGCACGAGCTGTGCACGGGTACGGAAGTCTGCTGGGCCAATCCCCAACAGGGAAGAGGGGAAAGGGTGGTGAGCAGGAAGCAGGCGCCATCTTTAGGGCGTTGTCCAGCTAGAGTGGGGCTCAGCCTCGGCCGTAGGCTGGGCCCCCACATCTCCCCCTTTATTGTTTTATAACCAAAGGGCTGTCGGGATCATGCCTGTCTTAGGTCGTCCGGAGTCTGCGGCATTCTTACCCGTCCTCAGGCAACAGACAGCTTAGGTCTGCGCCCTGTCTTAGGTTGATATGCGCAGCTCCCGATCTTACCCGTCCTTGACTACTGATCCAGCATATTAAGCCATACTCTAGGGGAGATGCCTTCCTCTAGCGCTGCCATGGCCTGCAACAGGACCTTCCGTTCTCCCCGTTGCTGTTTTTGTATGGAACAGACTTTCCTCCCAAGCAGGAGGAGGCCCACAATTAGCAATATTCCTATGACACCTACACCTGACCAGGCTTTGGTGGCGTTTAACATCTTGCCTAACTGTCTGGACAAGTTGGCAGCTTTAGAATAATTATGAAAAGGAATACCAGTAATACACCCTCATATACGCAGCCCACAGACAAAACCTCCCCCAAGAGGTCCAATTGTTCTTGAAGAAGGTTCATGCGTTGGTTGACCAAGGCCATCCCATTCTTAAAATGGCCGTTGATGACGTTCTGCGTTGTCATTGCCGAGGCAGTGGCCTGGGACAGACCATTCAGCGTCTCTGCCGTAGGAATGGTGATAGTCAGTGCAGCGGTGGCTGCAGCTGCAGCTCGGCTCCGCCGTCGCCTGCTGTAGGATCCACGGCAGGAGCAGAAGCAGTGCGATCATCTTGTACCTCCACTCCGGGGTTTTCCACTCTGCGTATCAGACGTTCAGGCACCCAAACGGGGTTCTGCTGGTCCTGTGGAAAAACACAAACCGAGCCTCGGGTCCAGATTATCACTGGGTCCGGGCCTTTCCATGTTCCTTCCAACACATCCTTCCACAAAACTTTAGGCATGTGTTTTGGATTGGATTGTTGGCCGTGCCGCTCTGCTGCACTGCGGCCATTTTTGTCCAGTGTTCTAAAATCTTCTCCTATTCCCCCTTTTTGTTTATATAAGGCATTCTTGAGGGTGAGGTGGGTGCGTTCCACCATACCCTGACCCTGAGGGTTGTCTCTAGCTCCCTGCTGCTCTCATGACACAAAAGGATGTCATCCATATAATGATAGATGATTATCAGGGGAAACTGTTTCCTGACAGTTTGTAAGGCCTTCTTTACATACACATGGTGGGGCTATTAGCCATGCCCTGTGGCAATAAACCTTTGACAGTCTCTGGGGTGAAGCGGGATGGAGAAGAAACAGTCTTTGATAATCTCCACTTGCCAGACTTTTTCCTAATTACAAAAATAGGTGTGTTCCATGGCGAGGTAGAGGGCTGGAGGTGACCAGCTGCTATCTGTTCTTGTACTAAAGTGTGGGCTGCTTCCTTCTTTTCTTTGGTGAGGGGCCACTGAGGTACCCACACGGGCCTTTTTGACTGCCATGTTATTTCTATAGGCTGTTTTCCCTCAGTGGCCCCGAAGAAAAACCCAATCCTGGTCCTCCGGGCCCTTTGGGCGGTCTCCCTGCTAAAAGGATTGGTTGTTCTTTCCCTTGGAGATCCTTCCCTAGTCCTCTAGTGCCCGCGTACCCCTGTTTTTTCATTATGGCATTAGACTGCTCACTGTAAAGAGTCTCTGTGGTTAGTTTAACTCTGCTATTAAACCTGTTCTCTAGCTCGTCCCCCGAAAGTTCCCCGTCTTCATCCTCATCAGATGGCAGTCCCTGTTCAGATCCCCCTTCCGATGCCTTTGCGAAGGCACGCTCTTCTCGTACTTCCTCTAATATTTCCTCCCCCTCTTGGATGGCCTCTCGGCAGCTTGGCTTCTGTCCTCGGCCCTAACCCTAGAGGCCTCCATCCCCATCCTCTCTCTAAAGGGGCAAGTATCCTAGTTATGATTTAGATGGACTACGTCGCTAATTCCGCGAACCTTTTGATTTCGTCGCCACTCTGCGAACCTTTTGATTTCGTCGCCGCTCTGCGAACCTTCACTGGCGCCTCCTCATTCCATATATTATAATAAACAATGTCACAAACACTAACAGGACACACACACTACACATAAACACCCACCGCAACTGCCTGCTGTCTGCCCTGCCACGTATACTTTCAGTTTACTCGCCGATCCACTCACCCTCCTCGGTTCCCTCTCCCGGTCTGGCCAGCCGACCGAACGGCGTCCAGCGACGTTCATCGGCAGGCACCAGGGTCAGCGGATCAGGTCGCGACGAGGTTTAGCAATTCCCGGGGTTCGGCACCACTTGTCGCGACCCTTCAAGGACCGAAGCAACACGCCCAAGGTCTTGATTCTTCTCTAGGCTTTATTGTCTAATCTCTCACGGCGGTTACAGCAGTTGTCGGGCAGCTCTTCTCCCTCCCGGCGGGCTCCCTTATATTCAGTCACCCAACCAATCCGGGACAGTATCATGCGTGACCTTTAAGCGGATAGGTGTCACGCGCCACTCTAAGCGGGCAGCACGAGCTGTGCACGGGTACGGAAGTCTGCTGGGCCAATCCCCAACAGGGAAGAGGGGAAAGGGTGGTGAGCAGGAAGCAGGCGCCATCTTTAGGGCGTTGTCCAGCTAGAGTGGGGCTCAGCCTTGGCCGTAGGCCGGGCCCCCACAGAATAAAATTGGATTTATATGTACATAATAATTATATGTTATGTTCAATCTTTCTTCTAAAGGAACAGTGTTCAGGGGGGCCCATGAATCCATCAATGCATGGGACATTATTTATAAATTGACTAAATAATCTCAACCATATGTCTATTATTGTTTTTCAAGAAAGTACGTAGCTGGTCATGCGATGAATTAAGTTCAAATTCATTTAAAAGCACTCCTGAGTTCATAGTGACTCCCACCCCCCTTGGCACTGGAATTCCCCAAGCAAGAGGAACACTAAACCAATTATTACTATTTACTATTATGGGAGGTTTTTGATATTAAATAGTTTATTCCACAAAACATAAGATTCTCAGATATAATAACATGACAACTTAAAATTTCTGTATGGCAAAAGACACCAAAGAGGAAATAATTTCAACAGGTTTAACATATCTTTAATACAAAAAAAAACCCTTACAAGTGTGTAAGAAACAACCCAGTTGATGGGCAAAGAATGTGAACAAGGCTGTTCACACACACACACACACACACACACACACACATACACACATACACACACACATACAAAAAAAATACACTGATAATGAAGATATGAAAATAGGCCAAACTTAACTATTGATCAAGAAAGACAAACCCATAAGTGGATACTATATTTTGCCTTTGCATATTGGCAAATCTTTAAAATACAACATAAAGTGTTTATGAGGCTGGAAGAGGAAAGGAAACTGCATTATGAGTGGGTGCATAAACTGATGTGGCATGGTGGAGGGCAATTTGGCAGTTTCAAATTTTTTAAAGGATGTTATCTTTCCACATAGGAAGTGAAATACAGGATATGTACCCTAAAGGAATATATTTCACATATGCTAAAAGATACAGATGTTTAAGAATGTTCGTTACAGCATATTTTGTAGAATATGATAATTAGAAATAAATCTGTCAATAGGGCTGTGAATGGGTTAAGTTATTACAGCCATACAGTGGAATAGTAATCCAGCTATTTCAATGAAATTGCCCTGTGCATAAATTCTGTATGGGTTGCTGCCCTGACATATGTTGTTGAATGAAAAAGGAAAGTTGTAGAATATGTATGGTAAAATTAAATTTTTACTGGAAAAAAACCACATTTTTCTATTTCTGTATCTATTTCTACATATCTCTTTCTCCATATATAATTCTATTTCTTTCTCTCTCTCTCTCTACCTATATATATAGTCCTCTATACTGTTCTATGTACATAAGAAGAGTCTAGAATGATACACAGCAAACTCTCAAGAGTGTCCCAAGAGTGAAAATTAGGGAAGAAAGGGAGTAATTTTATATTTTGCTCTGTCTTTACACTGACATGTTCTTTGAATTCTTCATTTCACGACACACAGGTATTACTTCAGTATATACAAAGATGAAAAGTGGTAATCTTCCAAAAATGATCCTGATTCTTAGAAGCAGAAACAACTGTCCAGAATGAGGACCACGTTCAGCCTGCAGACTCTCGGCAGATCCCGCTGCTGCCCCTTGGGAGAATGGGGGGAGGGGCTTCCTATTCAGCTGTGCACAAGGGCTTGGCAGACACCTTAAAGAGAGGACACAGCAATGGCCAGTATTATGCTGCTTCATTCTTACGACCATATGTTGGCGGTTGCAGGGCCAAGACAGAAGGTGTTTACTGCCACCCATTAGCCTAGGGAAGGAGCAAGCAGGCTTTTCTCTGATTACAGACTCTGCACAGGACGCTGGTGTGGGCTAGAGAACTTGCAGCAGCTCATGGTCTGGGGGCAGGGTAGAACCTCATTATTTGGTGTGGATCTTCTAGTTCTTTTTCTCCTTCCTCTATGCCTAGTGGTCATGGAATGAAGAACAGTTGATCTCTAGATTCACTGATGTGTCATAGTTACCTAGAGACCAACTCCAGGACACACCACCTGTGTGAGTACTGTTAGTATGTAGGAGCGCTACATATATTCATATCACTCTAAACACTGGAGGCCTCTCTTACCAGAGTTTGTCATAGAGAGCATCTAATTCTACCCACGAGTGGACAAGGTTAGTGAAAGCAGAAAGGGAGCATGGGATATGCAGTGGTCCCAAGTAAGAGCCGCGAGGATAGGGCAAAGGGCTGGGCGCAGACGGTATCCAGCACAGTTCTACACCGAGTGCTGCTTTCCCCAGGCTGGACCACAACCTTGCAGCACTCGTTCTGGGACATCAGCTCCTCCTCACCTTTACTCCTCTCACCAGCAGCAGCCTGCTCTCCCTGGCCAGAAGCCCTCCTTCAGCTCCCTGGCTCCACTCCTCCCCTGGCCAGGTGATCATTAGTGCAAATTCATGAAATATTTCCATGAATCCCCTTGGGTGGCTGACCAAAGCTTCATACTTTCTGGGGGATGACCTGGGTTATATTCCTGGAAATCATGCATCTAGCAGAACTTACCACCTCATTCCAAGGCATCAAAGAAACACAGATGTTAAGTAAAAGCAGTGCGCTTGCTTCCAGCTGGACTGCTGCCCCTGTGTCTCCTGTATAGGAAGTCTGGAGCTCCTGCACTTACGCACAGTGGTATATACTGAAGTATGTCCCATACTGCCCTTCACAGAAGTCTCTCAAGCCTGAAAAATAAAAACAGCAGTAGCCTGACATGTCTTTTGAGAACTGGATGAAATTCAAGGTTTTCCTCTTCCCACAAATATAAATACAAAATTTTGCAAATAATTTCAGGAGGCTCATGGACCTCTGAAACACAGTGATAGTGGACCCTGTGGGTCCACAAATGCCAGTATAAGCTTCCTTGTGTAAACGGGGAAAGGCCAGGGGAGTGGCACCAGGGTTTTACATAACCAAGCTTGGATGGGCCATGTATAAAAATAAAATGGTTTGCTTTTCATTTCTCTCTGCTTTCTTCCATCCTCCCTCTTTTCTCTCCCTCTTTAAGAATAAGTCCTATATTGTAGTCTGGACCTGGATATAACCAGTTGCTGTTCAGACTTAAGTGTGACCACTTCCAGACAAAACATAGCCAGTTCTGCTATAATGTTTCCTAAGAATATTTTTCCAAGAATCATGGCACTATACAAAATTACACAGGAACTACCACAGCACTTATGGGGAAAATGGGACTGGGGCAGAAGCCTCAAAAACTTTGTCAGTGACACATATAAAAGATGATAGGAACCTAATAAAAAACATAGCAGTTTTACACATGTGACATGGTTAAGAAATACATAAACACTACAATAAATATGGCACTTCATCTAGAGAAAGACTGAAACTTGCTCATGGAAGGGGGGTAGCTTGTGAGAAACGTCCACAGAGGGTTCTCCTGGTTAACTGTGTGGGTGGGTATGGCTTCTCACATCCTTGGAGAACAGAGGTGGCTGGAGGAGGTTTGGAGTGTGAGTGTATTTTGGGCTTTCCTATACAATTCAGGTCAGCTGGATGCCATTTTCTGCATTCATGTAGCATTTCTTGCCAATGAAATCACACATAAGCAAACACAAAATTCTTGTTACACTCAAATTGTTCCCTGGTAAATTAATCACATTGAAATAAATCCTCATTTTCTATGCAAGTGTTATAACAGAAGTGGCTGAACCTAGGTGATAAAAATAACTATACATTAAAGAGTAAAAAGCCATTAGGACCCATGACATGTTGCTGTCAACATACCAATAAGGTTACAATCTCTAAGCAGAGAACATATAACATTAAGGACTCTGAGCCTCTGTACTCCTACCCTAAGGTTCATCCCAGCATAGTGATAAATTCAAGTGAATGCAAACTGGTCGCTGTCGGTCCTGAGGGAAGCCTTCTCAGCATTAGGAAGAAGTTGTTACTACACATATCAGACTTCCTGGAAAGTCCTGTTATACATTTTTATCCTCAACATCCCTGTGTAGCAGCTACACTAATTGTATTTCCCTTTCTTCTCCATGATTCCTTGTCCCCTCTTCCTGTACCACCCAAAAGCCCAGCCAACAAACTTCCAGTAAAGGTTCTCTCCTAACCCTTCCTCTCTTTCCCACCATTTTCCCAGGAGTAAAAATTCCTACCTAGGTGTATTATTTTCCTACTGCTGCTGTCACAAATCACCAAAACCAGTGGCTTAAAACAACACAGATTTTTAATTTTACAGTTCTGGAGGTCAAAAGTCCAAAATGAGCTTTAGCAGGGCTAAAATCAAGGTGCTGGCAGGGCTGAGTGCCTTCTGGAGACCCTAAGAGTGAATCTGTTCCCTGCCTGTAGAGGCTGCCTGTATTCGTTGGCCTCTGACCCCATATCACTCTGATCTCTGCTTCTGTCATCACACCTTCTTTGACTCTGATACTCCCGCTTCCCTCTTATAAGGACCCTTGTGATTACATTGGCCCCACCTGAATAATCCCTCACCTCAAGATCCTTAATGTAATCACATCTGCAAAGTCCCTTTTGTTACCTGTGCAGGTACCATATTCACAGGTTCCAGGTATTAGAATGTGGGCATCTTTGGGGTGCTTTTTTTCAGCTCACCACATATTCAGTGGATAAGCTACTGAGAGCAGGCGATCTAACTCTGAGAAAGCCCAGGACCTAATGCTGGAGCAGGACTCTGGAGATCCCTGATGGGTTGTTGATGGATTGTAAGGGGGCCGGAAGATCTCAGGGAGGCACTGGGGTGTCTAGGGTAGTAGTGGAGCACTCCAGGGCTGCGAGACATGGTTCTAGGTAGCACCAAATACCTGACCCCTTTTTACAACCAGTACAGTCACACTCGTGTGTTGGCTGAACACGGACCTGCTGTGTTCTTCCTGCTACAGGTCAGGGTAGCCTCTCTAGGCTTTTGTAAGTTGTCCTCTCCACCCTCATCCATAATCAGCACACAAACCCCCTGGGATTTTTATCCTGTGTTGTACTTGAAATGTCTATTTAAGCCTCACTATAACCCTATGATTAGATTCTGTACTTGTCTTCCTTTTGTAATATCATATGTACATGCTATTAATGGTTAGGTCCTGGATTTGAACTCAAGCACTTTGCTTTAGAAATTGAGCTCTTAACCACTGTGGTTAGTGTCTTCAAGGAGACTCCTGTGTGTTTAGTCAGATAAGGAAAGCATGTACAAAGAAAGCTTGCAGGCAATGTTGAGGTGACAAATGGTAACCCCAAGTCCATATGCATCTCATAGGTTTACACAGAACCCTTTCCTATATAATTGAGTGATTATCAGAAGGACTTCTTGATCATAGAGTAAGAATTCTTATCTATTCTGTAAGACCAAATCTGAATATTCTTAAATAGAAATTCTATGATAAAAATATTACAGTCTACCTTCAAAACGAAACAAAACAAATACAAACTGCCAATTTATCTTGAATACATAACATTCTAGGATAAAGTAAGACTATAAGCATGCAATGAAACAGACAAAGAAATAACTGAATGAATGAAATCTAGAATCAAGACCTAACTGACTGTGGTACAAACTACTTCTGGCTAGAATATTATATTCAACTTTTTCAAATGGGTAAAGAGTAGGAGAAACAGGAGATGCAACAGGCAAGAGGATAGTAAGACCAGTCCTGGACTTCAGCGCTTTTATTAACCTCCGCCTGGTCATAGTTAGAAATGTGTTGCTTGTACCCAGAGGAGGTAATGTCTAACAGAAATAAGTAACTTTCCTAAAGAGAAAAAGAAATCATTCATGAGTATTTTTTTTATTAAGCTATCACTGATATACAATCTTAGGAAGGTTTCACATGAGCAACATTGTGGTTACAACATTCACCCACATTATCAAGTCCTCCCCCTCCACTGCAGTCACTGTCCATCAGTATAGTAAGATGCTATAGAGTCCCTACTTGTCTTCTCCAAGCTATGCTATCTTCCCGGTGATCCACCTACATTATGTGTGCTAATCACAATACCCCTTTATCCCCTTCTTCCACTCTTCCCACCCTCCCTCCCCACCCCCTTCTCTTTGGTAACTGTTAGTCCCTTCTTGGAGTGTGTGAGTCTGCTGCTGTTTTGTTCCTTCAGTTTTGCATTGTTGTTATATTCCACAAATGAGTGAAATCATTTTGTACTGTCTTTCTCCACCTGGCTTATTTCACTAAGCATAATACCCTCTAGCTCCATCCATGTTGTTGCAAAATTCATGGGTATTTTTTATTGTTGTTTGAAAAAAATTTTGTTTTGGTTAGTAATGAGTATGAGCATTTTCATTCATTTAACTGAAGAATTTTATAGAAGACATGGACGTTACAGTTTTTATTTTCAATGAAGGTATAGTGAGATCCTGATTGGGGGTGGGATGAATTCCTATAGGGACCCTTAGAATCATTCATGATATTTATAAATCAGATTCTTAAGTAAAATGTTAGATTAATGCTATTTAAAGATGCTTTGGGGAAGAATTGGAAGCAAATTCTACTTTAAATCCTTTAACCTAATTAAAAGCCTAAAATATTCTTGCTAATTTGGAAAATACCACTGATATTTAAGATTTCCTAAAAGGTAGGTCTCCTCCTACCTGTATGAGGGAATGCTGGATGATTTCAGTCAAAAGGCATAGTTATTACCATCAGAAAAAGTCCTGTAAGAAAGCACATGCTGCCACTTTACTCATTATTGAAGTGCCCTTATGACTGTCAGAGGGAACAGGTAAGATGCTAGGGGAGGCAAAGAGAGATCAAAGTGTTTTTGTTTACTTGTTTGAAGTCTTGTAATACCTACTGTTTACCATGCATACTTCTTGATTCATGCTGAAAATTGGAATTCACCCATTTCTCTCTTTTTCCTGTCAAAGATGCAGATGGGGCACATTTCGTTGACTCCATCCATCCCTGCCCCCACGCATTAGCACATACACACGTATACCTAGCCAGTGGAAAAGAAAAAAGTTACTCACATTCATCCATTTTACAAAGATTTCCAGGCTGCAATGGGAGGGCTTTACCTCTCCCTGAAGGATGAATAAATAGGTAGCTTTGCTGACAGGCTGTTCACAGTCAAATTGAAGTGAAAACTGAGACCAAGGTCTTGCTCTACTGGCACTTATGAGATCCAGTCCTGGCAACATGGAGAAGATAGTCATCTGCCTGATGTTCATCTTCTTGGGGACAGTGGCCCATAAATCCACCTTCCAAGGGCAAGATCGCTTCTTGATTAGATTGCGTCAACTTATAGATATTGTTGATCAGCTGAAAAATTATGTGAATGACTTGGTAAGGCCATACATGTCACAGCAAAATTTAAGTAATATTCTTCAATGCATATAAAAGGAGATTTTGACTTATAAAAATAACCCAGAACTTATTTTCTTTTGCTCTAGGACCCTGATCTTCTGCCAGCTCCAGAAGATGTAAAGGTAAGACTAGTTGAATTTATTTGATATGTTTTTAAATCCAATTAAGAAAGACAATAACATAATTATTTAGGAAGATACTTAATTTCAATGAATATGGGGGTTTAACAATTAGTAAAATTGTTATTTCTCTTTTGGTCACATATTCATGGCAACAAGCCAATCCATAAGACACTACATTTTATCTCCAAATATCTCTGAGTACCCCCAAGTGCTATTGCTGCGATAGAATAACAAAAGGGGAAAATAAAACTATACTATGATAATTTTCTGAACAAAAACCAACTAATTATATTTCAAGAGCCCTTGAGCATGAAAGTTCTTGAGCCCTGTTGTAAACCTATCTAAGAAATAAAGACACATCATAAGAAGTGGAATTCACCTTTTTTCAATTGAAAATAACAAGAAAGCAGGAAAGAAAGAAAGAAAAGAAGGAAGGAAGGAATTAAAAAAAAAAAGAAAGAAAGAATAGATTACCGGAACAACAGCATAGAGGAATGGTAGGGTGGAAATCAAGGCTGTCCTTAGAATATAACTCCCATATACCTTGGCTTCAGTGAGTCTCATCTTTGGCCTTCGGTGAAGTCTTTCGAAAGGACCATTTTCAACAACTTATTCCATTCTCTCAAGCCGTTTAAATCCATTAGGTCCCAGGAAGAAGAGGCCTAGCATATAGTTCAAGAGTGCTGGGTGCTGATCTTTTCCTTGATAATTTCACTATAGTCTACAGGTTGGGTACCCAGAGGATATAAGCACAATTGGGGAAATGTTTTCATTGCCACAGATCTTTAACTGCATAAATTAGAATAACTATAAAAGTACTACCAGTAATTAGGACACTACAGAGTGGTTACTGAAGAAGATACATTGCAAAGAAAACAATTATCGTAAATGACTGCATGTAAAAGTTTAGAAAGTGAATGAGTCACAACTACAGCTTTTCTTTAAAATTCACTCTCTAGCTCTGAACCTCATCACTCTCATTTACTAATCCTTTTCTAATAAGCAGCATCTAAAATGAAAGTAGCACATTCAGCTTATTGGAAAGAACTTTTTCCAATAATTAAGAATATTTTCTTAATGTCCTAATTACCTCATTTAATACATTCATTTCTCAGCATCTCATGTACTTCATTGAACTGTTGTGGTTAGAGTTCTTCTGGAGTTTCCTAACTGCAGTTTATAACTTGCAAAATAAGAAGAAAGATTTCCTATTTTCTAACTTGAGCTGATCCAGTGGGTGCCTCCTTTATACGTTTTGTTAAAGATAGATGTACTTTTTATCTTACATCATGATGACAGGATTTTGCCTCAGTGTCACTGTATCTATCTGACAATCTGATCAAACAATACTGGTTATGATACAAGTGAGTAATGGTGTAACTAGGATCTTTAAGCTATGCTGGCAGACAAACTCAGAAGGGAAGAAATGGTTCAAGGCCACAGCAGTGTTATATCAAGTTTTTCAGGGCTAGCATCAAAGCAGGGTCTATAGGTGATGTAAAAGATTCTAAAGTTTAATGGAAATAAACTCACTTAAATATTGCATATAAATGTTGACAAATAGTGATTATCTAAGATCTCTAACTGACCTTGCCAGGCATCTTCCTCTCTCCTTCTAATCATATAACCAGGGGCTCTTCCCTTGTCCCCACTAGTGAATGTTTTGCCCCTTGAGGACATTTGGCAATGTCTGGAGAAATTTTTGGTTGTCACAGTTGTGTGTATGGGGTAGTTTCTACTGGCAGCTAGTAGGTAGAGCCAGGGATACTGCTAAACATTCTAGAATGCACAGAACAGTCCCAACAATAAAGAATTACCCAGCCCCAAATGCCAACAGTGCTGTTGTTGGGAAACCCTGACACTAACATAGTTTGTGTGAAGGGTAAAAGTAATCTTGCCCAATTAGCAAGACTACTTAATGTGGATGGCCCTGGCTTTGGGCAGGGCGGGGTAGGGTTGGGGGGAAGTAAGTAGGTTAAAATGAGCTGTGAGGAGGCAAATATTTTCAAATATACAATTGCAAAATAACAAAGCTAAGTGCACCTCTTTGCAGAAGCAACACTTGGGTGTTCTCTGGCTAAAGAGAGGGGTGGTTTGTTACTCTTGCTTTTGACTTCCTTACTGCTCCCTCTATTCTGCAAATCTTAAGTAGGACAGATATCTCTTTGTGTTTTCATGTATTAAAGGATGAGGCAAACAAGCCTTGCCCTCAGTCTGTGGTCACCAAGGCACAGCAAAAGAAAGCAAGGGCTATGCTCCCGTGTGGTGGTACTACACATGAACTTGGGGTCATCCGGTAAACCCAGTGAGTGACAGGGCCTCTGTGGCTGCCTGAATTAAGGCTGATCTCTCCACTCCCCTTCTCAACACATCCTGAAGGCAGTTAGCAGGACAGCTCCTCCACTTCTTTTCCTCTCTGAGGCTGCCTTGCATGTGCATCTGAAACCAAATCCAGCAGTTATTTGTCCTGGACCATACATTGCCTGGGAGAACTCTGCTGCTTGCAGAAAGTGCAAAGCAAAATATCATTGTCTATTGACACAGGTGAACAAAGTGGGGCAGGAAAGACAGCACAGCCCCACCATGGGCATTGTGCCCAGGTGCAGCCCAGAGGCTTTTGGAAAGGCTTCTCTGGTGGGAAGTCTTTCATCACTGGTCTTGACCCTTCCTGGCAATATTACCCTATGGGAGTTGATTTGGTAGGGCCCCTCTACTTCTTTGGAACCTAATTTTCTTTCAACATAGTCACGTAAATGTTAACTCAGCAAAATGGGCCTCTGTGAGAAATGCTGGTTTCTCAGATCATCACGGATGAAGCAGTTAGCATTTTCAGTTTCAGCTGGAAAATTTACCTCTTTAAATATGAATATTATTTTTTTCCAGTAACTTAAGCCGGTTGTGGTCAAAAAGAAGAGAAAAGAAAAAAACTTCAACAAACATGATCATGTGGTTTTCAAGGAAAAAAAAGTGCTATAATTAACATTTATAAGTAGTTTCTATTAAATAAGCATTTTGGCAAACATATGGAAAGGACACTACCTTGCCCTTATGCGAGGCGAACTGCTGTGATACAAGGAAACCAGATAAGCTGGTTCTCGGCTTGTGGCTCTGTATGCAAAGCAAACCTGATGGGTAGTGTCTTAAAGATGCATGTTATTAATCAACATTCATATTGGGTAAGCATATGGGCTGGAAAATGCAAAGCAGGCCAAATGCTACTTTCATTTGACTGTCCATGTGAAGACTCAGTAATACTCTGTACACGGGGCTGCCCTTGTAGGGATTGAGAGGGATGGAGATTTCTGCTTATAGGTAGTGACTTCCAAGTACAGTAGTGAAATGAAGATACACAACTTTGTGTGGGAGAGATAACACCTATACACACATTTGCTGAAGGAAAAAAATAACTTGGATATATATAAGTTCTTAGATCAGCCTTAAAATATTTTCAACAAGCCAGTATAAGTTTTGTCCTTCCAATAAATTTCATTTCATTTTCAGTTCAATGTCTACAATATTGACTTATTCACTAGTCAACAGTTATTTGATTAAAACAGGAGGCAAGTGTTTGATCCTCATTCGGTCCACTTCTCCATTCTCTGAGACACTAATTTTACTTCCAAAGGGACGATGTTCCCTCTCATTGGTTGGGCAAGTCTCAAATTCTGTTCTGCAACTGCTTGATTCACCCTAACTGACCTGAGAGTATAAATAGGGTTTTAGAAAAGTCATGCATAGTTTATGACAGGTATATTGAATCTTAGATGTAGAATATGCCATCAGAGGTAGGTACTTCTTTTCTCCAAAGGAGTGGCTTTAACTTACTTCATTTGTCAACTCCACAAATACTGAGCATTCACTAGCAACAAGATATTATCTCAGGTGTTGTACAGGATAAGATGCTGCTCAAGACATGTCACTACAGATACTCCTACATACATCATAGACAGAAACAAAAACAAACCAAAAAGAGTCTTAATCAGAGTACAGCATAACTCACCCAAAGCTGCCACCAGCCACAGTGTACATTTTAAAGCCTCATAAATCAGAAAATATGTTCAAAAACCAAAGGAAACTCTCCCTTACAAAACACCAAGATCCTAGCCACCACCCAGGCCTCAAGATGGTGTTAGGAATAAAGAACTGTGAAAATGTGGGACTTCTTCCTCTTGTCTGTGAGGCAGAGAAATGTCCTCTCTTCCCAAAGATGGGAGATTTTACATTGCAGGTGCCTCCTCGTCATCAGTCCAAAGATTAAGTAGGATGTGAAATCATTCTTCATTCATCTGCTTTAAAGAATGTAATTCTAGGCACTAATAGAAGTAGAAAAAGAGGACTGGGGAGAACATTTTTACTTTCCGAATAACATGCACAAATACACATACAAATTATTTCTCTTTCAGAGACACTGTGAGCAGTCAGCCTTTTCATGTTTTCAGAAGGTCCAACTGAAGTCAGCAAATACAGGAGACAGTGAAAAGACCATCCATATATTAACTAAACAGTTGAAGAGGAAACTACCTCCCTCAAATGAAGAGAGAAGACAGAAACATAGACTGGTAAGATTGTCATTTGCCATCTATCGTAATTGCACTGCTAAAGTACAGCTCTTAACGTTACATCACACACACACACACACACACAGTAACCAGAGCCTCCAGTGCCTTCCTTCCAGTTATACCTTATCAAATAGGGTGTATTTTGTGAGGTGCAGTTATCTCTTTTAAGTCCACAGACTTGAAAATGCCCAGAACCCTATTAGAATTTGCTGACAGTCCCTGGGAACTGGAATAAATTAGTCTTGTTTCCCAGGTGAGGAACTCATTAGGCAGAGAATCCAATTGTGACTTAGGAGTTAAGAAATATTTGCCTCTCATTATGCGGTCACATATAACTTGTATTCTTATTAACAGGAGCTAGATCCTAGTTTTCTTACAAGAAAAGAGCCTACAAAAGACCAGGACAAATCTCAAACCTTCCTTTCTTAAAGAACATCACTGTCCTGTACAATCACAAAGTCAGTACTACATTCAAATAGGAAGACCCCATTATCTGACTGGGGAATTTCAATAGTCCCTAGGTTTTGGGGACCTGGCTTCCTCCTGCATATCTCCTCTTATGCCAACTCAAGAGCAATGCTGTTAGTTTCAAGAGTAATTCAAGCACCAGTTAAAGCCAGTGTGGATAAACATGTAAGATAAATTACTTCTCATTTTTAAAAAATTAGTTCTCTCTCCTCCAAAGAACTTTTCATATGAGTCAAATGAAATATTCATATATTATAAAAATGATTTTTATTTCCTTTGATTGCTTTCCCAGGTTGTAATGTAAAAAGCATCCTTCAAAAGCTGTCCTCAGAAATACAGGAGCTGAGCATGTCTTTGAAACCAATAGCAAAGGCTCCTGCAGTGGTAGCGCAGCCACTGAACTTAGCCATACTGTTTCCCACCTTCATTTGATAGATGGGGAAAGTGATCTCTAAAGAAGTTAAGAGACTTGTCCCAAGCCCCACACATAATATGTGGCAGAATGAGAACTAGAACTTACATTTTCTACCTTTCAGTCAAATGCTTTCACCACATCAAACTGGCATTAGTGATGCTAAATATAGCAGTAACTGGGGTTTGGTTTCTGGAGAGGATTAAGGATAAACCCAAGAATATTTTTTAAAGAAATAAAAGCAGGCAATACACATGGGAAAAATTGTTTGATCTCCCTGTAATCAAATAAATGCAAGTTAAAGTAAGGAAATACTACTTTTTTCCAATTAAAATTTAAAATAATATACCCAAGAATGCTTTACACAAGTAAAGGTAAAACTTTTTTTTACAATGCACATCAAAAGCCTTAAAATTTCTTAATCCCTTTAATTTACTAGTTCTAGAAATTTATCAAGTGAAATGAACAAAGGTGTATATGAAAAATTATTCAGAGATATTATTTGCAGCATTGTATATAATAGTGAAAACTTATGAGTTATCTGTGTCCAAAAATTGATATTTTTTTGTAATGTCATTGAGCCTATGTTGAATGTAAAGCAATCCCTACATATCATATTTTGAAAGAATATTTAATACATACAGAATGCTACTGATATGTTAAGTGTAAAACAGGCAAATTACTAATCAATCACTGTAAACAACATAAATGCAAAGAAGAAAAATTATTGGGAGGATATACATCAACACATTGCAGTGGTTGTATCTCTGCAGAGGGATTACAAGTGATTATTTTTCCCACTGTTATTTTCTGAGCAATTTTATACACTTCTCAAATTGTTTCAGTGAACATGATTTATGTTTCTAAGGGGAAAAATGTCTAATAAACATTTTATTAAACAGGCAAAGTTTTAAAGAACAATATTACTTTTTCATTGATCTCTAGACATGCCCTTCATGTGATTCTTATGAGAAAAAACCACCCAGAGAATTCCTAGAAAGACTGAAATCACTAATCCAAAAGGTATCTAACTTAAATTACATTCTATTTTCTATTTAAGCTTTATTTATACAAATTGCTTTTTATGTTTAGGTTACTCATGGTGTACTATTTCCACAGATGATTCATCAGCAACTCTCCTAGAACAGATGGGATATGAAGGTTCCTGAGGCGCTAACTGAAGCTGGACACTATATTACATACTCTAACACAGTAGTGAACCTCACTTCTTGGTATTCCAAGTGGAGGAGTACAACATATTAGTGAGGGGAAAAAAACTCAGATAAGTGTTCAAAGTCAGGATTATTTCCCCCAAATTACTATGTAACAGTTATTTTGATCTACATGCTTTGTGTTTAGTTAACTTGAAAAAAATCCTCTACTCAATTAAGAGTCTAATTTCTATTGTTACGGATTTCTGTGACTTCTAAAGTTTTTACTTTATCTTACTGCCCAACTATGACATTTCTTGGTTGGGAGAGAAGTTTAAATTTTTTAACCAAAAACACAGCTTGGAAATTTATTGATCTTGTATTAATCTTGACCTAGATTATGATAAGAATGAGGTCTCTGATGATAGTAACTCAAAGGTTATGTGCCTTCATTCAAGGTGAAAAATACAGAGGCATAGAGTCAAATGTTGAAACCTTTATTCTTTCCAGGATATGAAAACTCTGCTTAAAAATGTACATCTGAAGAGTTTACTTTTTATCTCAGGATATCTAACATATAAATATATAATTTATTTATGCAACAAGGGGATAGATTTACCAGATGGTTACAAAAGCCTTACTTCTTTATTGGGCTTTATACAAATATTTAAATATTATAGCTATGGATGTATTTATGGAATAACTCTTTTAGCCTTTTTTTCTTTAAGTGGTTTAACAGTACCTATGCACCTCAAGTCCCCTTATAAGCTAACATTTTAATCTTGTGGAAATGGCAATTAAAATCTATAGAGAGACACATATTTGGTGGTCTTCTGGAACAAAACAGAGTTTTAAAAAAGTCTTGTAGCTCTCATCTCAAATTTTTATAGTGATTGTATGGAAGCAAGCTATTAACTCCAAATGTCTGTCTCCTTTCTTTCTTCCTTTCTTGTCTTTCTTCTTTTTAAAATGACAGGCATTTTATGTTTGTGTGCTTTGCATATAGCAAATTCAATCACTTATATCAAATCAAAATCAGGAGACAAATCAATAGGCCAGGAATCCTGTCCTAATAGAAAACAAAACTTTTGTATAAACATTCTAATCTTTCAATCTTGGGCAGTAAAATTAAACAACCTGCTCTGCCATTTCATATGAACTCCAGCAGAGTTTATTTAAATATGAAGCTAAAAACTCTAGAAAAATAAAATTTTTGCTAGAACTTTATAAGCTATTTGAGAATCTCTTATTGTTACAATGGCTGTGAGTGTGCAAGAGGATGTGAGATGGGTGATATGGTATGCTCTGAGAAGAAAAATTATCTACTTATAAGCATTTTAAAAGCAGGTAAATTCATAGTTCTCAAAGGTATGTTAGTAACCAGTTATTTCATCCAATCTCCATGAGATGTTTTGTCATCAGAAACAAGGTATTCTGTTTAAAATTTTTTAAATGTTCTTATAAAGGAATCGTGTAAATATGTGCATAATGATGGTAATATACATCTAAAACCCACCTAAGTATGAAATGGTGCCAGCCCCGCCTGTTGGGATCAAAGTGGAAAAGGCACAAAGTTGACTTGTGAGAGATGGAGTCTGTACTTCTTGTTTCTGGCTTTATAGCTATTGACATCTTTGACACTGTGATTTTATATTTAAAATAATGTATTTATTTTGGTGTAATTACTGTTAAAAGTATCTGTTCTAATCCTTTTGAGCAGAGATTCTACCTTGAAAGTAAAAATAACTTAACGGGCTCTTGGCTAAAAGCCTTCACTAAATTGAGTTTAAAGATTCAGGTGAAGATCCTGCCAGCACCCCAAGAGGAGTAATGCCTCGGGATAAAGAAGATGAAGAAGTGAGACTTGAACATCTCCATCCTTGTTGCTCTGTGTTCAAGAGTTAACCAGCCCTCAAAAGGGATGTAAGGCTAACCCATAAACATTACTCTTTACCTATGGATGGTGAGACAGGAGAAATCTTGACATCTTGCTGGCTGTGAAACCATGGTCACTTGCTGAAATTACTTAGGTTTCCATTTCCTTAGCTGTAGAATGAGGGTGTTGGAACTTAAACTCTAAGGTCTATGCTGCCTTTTTTTAGAGGTTTATTTGTCTATCAGCCTCTACAGTTCTGGATACTCTTGTAGAAACATCTGACCATATTTCTGAGCAAATATTTCTACTGAATCTGATGTTCACTTGCTCAACATTATTTCAATAGTATTTGTAGCAACACTTACTGTAGGAACAAGGAAAATATTCCTCCCATCCAAAAAAAAAAAAGGAAAGAGGGAAGGAAAACATTGCTGTAGGTCATGGGAGTTCTGGGAAAATTAATGATGATTTTTACTATTTTAGCTGAAAGTGTCTTCTTTGGAAACATATAAAATTGTAGCATTATTATTCTATATTATTGCTCTGTTGTATTTACATTTGCATCTGAGAATTTAGTTTTAATTTGAACTATGTACTTTATAACTTAATGATTATTTATTATATATTTGGTTTTAAATGTTTATGTTTGTGGCTTCTATTTAAGACCTGATCATATTAAATACTACCCAGTCAGAACAACTGTCTTCTGTGATTCCCTGGAAACCCTTAATTCAATAGTCTTGGCAGAAAATAAAAGATGATCCTAAGTTTCTGGGAGCATAAAGCTTTTATATGTATATGGTAAAGATGACCTTCTTTCCCTAAATACTTCTGCTGAAATGGAACTTTCCATTTCCTGTCCCTACATCTAAGACACCACTTCCTTCACAGGCCTTTCACAAGTATGGCAAGTCCAGGAGGAGTTAAAGATATCCTTCCCAATGCCCATTACATGTACAAAACTGTTTCCTGCTTTGAAGTTTATCCCATCTAGCTTTTCTGTCTGTCATGCTGGCCATTCCTCCATCTTCACTGCAGACTTAGGCATAGTCTTTCCCTTGAATCCAGCTTCCGTTATCATCCTGGGTAACTTCAATGCCTGTGAGGAGGATTCCACCAACACTTCCACTTCCTAGAACTTGATTACCACAGTCTCAAACACCTGCATCCTTTACCCCTTCATCAGCCCACTCCCACAGCCATGAGCCAGACTTTGTTGAGCCATTCTCTGTCTGAAATGTTTACATGTAGAAAACCACCACCACCTAGTCTCTTAGTTCTCAAACTGCCCTACTTCTACTACATCTGTCCTGAGACCCATCACAACAGTCGGGCCTTCACCCTTTGCCATTCTGTCAGTTTATTACATTCCCTCCCTCCCCGACTGAGCCTGGGCCCCTGATCAGTTCCTTTAACTGCAGACCCAGCAACACACAGTCTCATCCTTCTCAAGTACCTGCCTACAGACTTTTTACCTGGCTATTCTATTATTGGTCCCCCAACTCCCCTTCAGACACTGGCTCTGGCTCCTTACCTTTGGGGACCCTTTTGAACCCCCTATCTGGCTTACTGGAGTCATTTTACTGCTTCATTCTCAGCTCTGAACACTCATCTTCTTTCAACATCTGCCTCCATCATTCCAGTCCATAGGTTAGTCCAGGCACAGTCTCACCTCATGTGGAAGAGAGAGACTTGAGTATTCACAAACAAGCTCATTGAAAGAGTCGTCCATACATATGTCTACACTCCCTCAATTCCCATCTACTCATCAAATCACTATAATCTGATTTTTACCCATCCTACAACCTATCACTCTAGCATTAAAATTGCCCTTTCTGTGTTCAACAATGGACCCCAAATTACCCTGCTCACAAATGTGTCTAAGGCCCTGTCCTACTTGATCTCATCATGGTTTTTGCTGCCTATAATCACTCTCTGCCTTTTCCTTCCTTCTTTCTCCTTGGAGGCCCGGCGCCCCTGCTTCCTGCCTTACCTCTCTGGCCACACATTCTCGGGGTCAGTTGTTGGCTTGCTTTCTGGTGTCTTATCCTTACAAGTGGATGTTCCTGAGGGCTCTGTCCTGGGCCACCCTCTCACTTTAAACTTTTCCCTCAATAATCAAATGAGTTCTTGTTTTAAATATCCCCTTGTACGTTGTAGATTCCCACATCTATACATAGAGGTTAGACCTCTCTGCTAATTCCCAGGCCCATACAGCCACCTTCTCCCTGGAGATTTCCATCTTCATTTCCCAGACCCTTCACCTCAACATGCCAAAACTGATAACATCATTTTTTGGGGTATCATTAATATAAAATCACATGGGCAACATTGTGGTTACTAGACTCCCCCCATTATCAAGTCCCCACCACATACACATACCCCATTACAGTCACTGTCCATCAGCGTAAAAAGATGCTACAGTCACTGTTTGTCTTCTCTGTGCTATACTGCCTTCCCCATGCCCCACCCCTCTGCATTATGTGTATTAATTGTAATGCCCCTTATTCCCCTTTTCCTGCTCTACCCACCCACCCTCCCCAGTCCCTTTCCCTTTGGTAACTGTTAGTCCATTCTTGGGTTCTGTGAGTCTGCTGCTGTTTTGTTCCTTCAGTTTTTGCTTTGTTCTTATGCTCTACAGATGAGTGAAATCATTTGGCACTTGTCTTTCTCTGCCTGGGTTATTTCACTGAGCATACATAATACCCTCTAGCTCCATCCATGTTGTTGCAAATGGTAGGATTTGTTTTCTTCTTATGGCTGAATAATACCACTTTTTCCTACTTCCATGACCTTCTCTGTGTTCCAGTGTCCCCTAATCTTAATTGAAGGAACACATCTCCCAACCTCCAGACTCTGCCCTCTCTCAGCTGGTTGTTGGGCCTTACTATTTCTATGTCTTAAATTCATCCTTTCTTTTCTACTCCCTCTGCCGTCACCTTAATTCAAGCTTGCAGCAATGGTTGCAGTAACTTTCAACTGGGTGTCTAGCTTCTTGCCTTCTCTTTCCAGTCTCTCTCTGCATGGCCACTAGAGTGATATTTTTTAAAACTTAAGTCTGATCACAACTTTCCCTAATATAAAAATTTTCACCGGCTTTTCTTCAGAATAAAGCC